CTTGCTTTCATGAAAATATTTGAGGGAACTGTTTGCATGAAATTTAGAACTGCTCTATCCTCTATCCTGTTCTATCGCAATTAGGTTCTGCGCACAACTCGGATATTTCTCTGACGAGTACTAATAGGGTGCTGTTATCCCATTTCTTCACCTCCAATCAATATTCGTTTTTGTATTACACACTTTCGTATGATGAACAACAGACGGTGAAAGCCCCATAGTCACGAGGACCTGCTGTCCAATATGAAAACCGGTAAATTAATCTCCGGGATTTGGAGCGACGAACCATATAAGGCACCGATAGGTTAGGTGTGGTATTGGACCGAACGACAGCAAAGCTGCCTATCACCTAAGTTGAGTGGTGGTAGAGGGGCTCGAACTTCGGATTATAGGGTCCAAAGCGCGCCTGTGACAGCGATTAAACCACTGCGCCACCACCACCCTAAATTATAATTAATTGTTCTCAAATTCAGTTTTCCGTCTTTTCCCAAACAGTCGGATCAGAACTTGTTCTGTCAATCGGACGCGTTGAACGTTTCTAGTCTTTTTCACGTTCGTTTTTCCCAACAGATCTCGTGTTGATACACAGCAGTAATTGTTTCTACATTGGACTGTGCCCAATATCCTGAAATCACGATAGACAGGCAATCATCTCCGCTAAACCCCGGAAATCCGTAACTACTTTGGAACCGGTTGAGCTGAAACAGTGTCCAAATTCGAAAAACTAGTTATCCCTGGTTTTGTATATCAATTTGTTTTACTAATCGTTGCCCGAATACTACTTCTTTGCTTACATGATAACGTGATTTGGAAATCTCACGTCCCAATCTGTGCACAGAACGTTCAGTTTAAGTTCCATGAAGAAATCTATTGCTAAAAGGATAGAGTCGCAATGGGATTCCCACTCAGTCCTCCTCTATTCTTTTTTTCGTTTATCATTTTCATTTTACTTCCTTTTATTGAATATACAAAGATACAATTTTCAGGAAGGGGGAAGCGGCCAATCAGAGGGCTGCCATACAACACACAAATGCGGAAAGTCATGCGGTGGTGGTGGGATTCGAACACTCGTCCTCCGGGGTGATAATTGGTGACGCTACCACCGGGCCACCACCGCCCAGCTTTTATTCATGTTCAAGCTAGAAAATATTGTTTCGAAGTCCACGATTGCGTGATATAAGCTTTACAGACGATATGCCAATGATGTATTATGTTTTGTGGACAGTCACATCCAGATGTTCAACTTGCTCAGGATATTTAATTCCGCTCACGTAACATCAAGATCACATTGCAAGAAGAGGTTATTGACGGGATTGATTATCTCGACATCTGGCTAAAGCGTCGCACAGATGGTTCTATTCAGAGATCGATTTATAGGAAGCTGACTTGGAGCGGCCAGTATATCCATTTCAGAAGCTTTGTGCCACTTAAACAAAAAAGAAGTCTTATTCAGTGTTTGGTAAACAGGGCGATAAAAATATGCATCGATGATACCATAAGTACGGAACATGTTTTCCTTCAAAATGGCTATCCAGAACGCTTTGTGGATAACGTTTTGCAAAATAACCGTCCGAGGGAAAGACTTTTAAGCGCAGGGAAGAAGCCAGTTTATATTTCTCTCCAATTCAAAGATGATTCAATCGCAGAATTGGTTAGCCACCAACTAGGAACTGCGTTGGAGAATACTTTTAACGCAGCAGAATTACGTATCGTATTCACGTCCAGAACGATCTTGTGTTCGCAACTCAAAGACAGGATTCCAGGTTCTGCAGTCTCATTTTGTGTGTATCACTTTATGTATTCCTGTGGAGCAACGGAAATCGGCAGCACGGGTAGACGCCTATCTATAGGAGTTCGGGAACATCATTCGGACTAACTGAACACTGATGTGATTAAAACTAATACAAGTTCCATCGTTTCACACCTCGTCGAGTCCGAGCACATAGTGAGTGTGACCGAAGCATTTCGGCCTCTCTACTGTGTTCGGGGTCGCAGTTCAAAGCCGATTGAAAATCGTATCCTAGCCACCGCGGAGGCGGTTGGAATTCATCTACATAATTCCCCCTTGTGCGCCCAAAAACAATGCGTGAAGTCACTTTCAACCTACCATGGCCTTACACCTCTCATCCTCATCCTCCTCTGCCCCTCAATCGCACCCCAAATCACATAATTAACACGGACCAAGCGTAAGTTCCGATGGCAGGATCAGCCATATCCGATTTTGTGAAATTGAAACAGAAAACAATAACAACAATCCCCATTCGAATAATCATTAGTTTTGTTTCCTGTTTTCTACACAAAGCGATGTGATATAAGATGTGACGTATTAGTCAGTTGATGAGTTACCAAAAAAAGCTTTTTCGCTAAACCGCTTCGTTCGTTCAATATGTGTCGCTGATATATTCCGGGAATCTGACAATTATTGATTGCATCGTTTTACCAATCTCCAGTAGATTAATTTTGGCACGTTCCGGTCATTGCCTAGCTTCCGGTGTGTTAATTTTGTCAGACAGTCTGTTTGAGTCCCGAGTCCCCCCTCCCCCGTCTTTCTCATTCGTTCACAGACTCTGCCTTTTGAAGCCCTATCTCTTAGACGTATCCTCGTACCGAAATTACCTTGTGTCT